GTTGGATGGATGGATGGATGGATGGATGGATGGATGGATGGATGGATGGATAAATGGACGAATACTTGACAAACTGCCAGGTGAGAAAAGGAAAGAAGAAAACTACAGAGAATCAAGCAGACTGCGAATCTTTACAACCAATCATCCAGAGCAAGAGCAGCTCTGTTAAGCCAGAGGAAATAGAGTCCTGGGGACAGAGGGAAGCCTGAAGCCAGGCTCTGTGGACAGCCCACCACAAGGGAACCGAAGGTAGTGTCCCCTCTCTCCAGCACTCCTTGATAGCTTCCCTGGAAGCTGAGGATTGGGTCTGCCACAATGCTTGGATACCAGTCCTCAGTGGCCTCTGTCAGAGCCAGTAAGTAGGTCCTTTTTTTTTTTTAGTAAATGTCAGCTTCCCATTTTGCAGCCTCACTGAACAGGTGAGAAGCTCTGTGCAGCTAATACAGGATGGCAATCCACAGCATGCCACACAGTGCTTTGGTGACCTCTAGTGGCATTTTGATGCATGACAGTTATAGCTCAAAAGCACTCAGGTGGAGGCCCTTCCTCCCTACAGGCGTGACTTGACAGTCTACTGTGAACCCAAGTCCCACAAAGGATCTGGATGACCCTACAGTGACTTACTTAGCTTGCATTGAGACTCAGTACCAGGGTCTCTTTATAATATTTAAAGACTTCCCATCATTCCCTAGTCCAACCCAGGCCACTGTGACTGTCCCATAACATGGAGTTGGAACTACAAGAGGGTGAGGTGAAAAGCCAAGTCGGGAGAGTTACTTCCAAGTCAGCACCTGTAATGTGGGGAGGTAAAGGAAAAATCAGGTCCCTGGCCCCAAGGACCACTGGCTTGTCTGAACTCTCCATCGGTCCTGCCTCCCCTGCCCTGCCCGGCTGCAGTCCAGGCTGTGGCCGGGTTGTTAGGGAACAGATGGTTGGATGTGAGAGCTGGGATTTAAAGAAAGCATGGGAGAGGATATAGATGTTATCCAGGCTGGGATGAAAGATGGCTGGGCTGGAATGTAGGCAGTAGAGGCAAATAGCAGCAGTCCCATGAGCATCTCCTGATGGAACAAGGACCATGTGACTTCCCAGAGGAAGGCAGATATTTGGAGAGTCAAAGGCATGCAGAGCAGGATGCAGCAGTCCACTCCACATACTGAGAGTGTCAGGCTCAACCCTTAGATCAGGGGACACTCAAAGCTGCACCAGAATCAGGGGGAAGAAAGTGCAAGTTGTGTCCTTTATAGACTGCCCGTCGAGACTCAGAGAGACAGCTCAGAGTCATTCTGGGCAGTCCAAGAAGAAAGATGAAGTCTGCAATAGGTAAAGTCCAGGAAGAAGGTTTGGTTCAGTAAAATGATCACGTAGCCATCTCCACAATGGTCAAAGGAAGGGGTTCCTGTCACAGTATGTAGAGCCAGGCAGACACTGTCAGCTGCCACCAATCAAGTTCTCCTTGAACCACTGAACAGTGGCATGGGACAGAACACCCATCCCCCCTGCAGCTGAGCCCCCTCACACGGCTCCCTCCGTCTACAAGAGCAGACGCAACCATTAATACACCTGCAGCTCAGATGACCGTGGGGGCCTCTGCTCCTGCATTCTGATGTCTGTGAGGTTGTCGGACACAGACTCTGACACCAAGTCACTGCTGACCTTTGGAACAAGTCCATTCTGTCTCCTTAATGAAACAATGGGAGGATGTCAGGAAACCCCATTAACCACAATGAATGCATCCTAGCCGCTGAGGGTGTCCTGAAGGGTCATCTCCAGCATTCTGGAGAGGTCACCTCAGGAACCTCCTGTCCCTTCTAACACTCCTGCTCACATATGAACTCAAAGAATCTAAGCTCATGTCTTTCTGTGGCTTGGCACAGCTAATGGGGCATAGAGCCCGAGAGCACACCGTTGACCAATCTGAAGATAAAAAGGTCTGAGCCCACAGACCCCAACAGACTGAGCTCCTTGGGCTCCCATACAGGAAAACCATCTTGCCTCACCCACGGGAACCCAGGCAGTGCCTGCCTCCAAGGCCAGGCCTAGAGATCAGCCAGGTGAAGGAGGGATCCTAAGTTCCCCTGCCTGGAGCTTACCCTCCACAGGCCCCCTCTTCCTGGGTACAACCACCCCTTGCTGTCAGGCACACCTTCAGAAGAGCACAGCATTCTGAACACCTTTCTTTGACAATATGCTTGCTTTCAGGGGTGCCATCGGACTGGCAAATATGATTTGCTAAGAAATCATCTATTTTACTTAATAAGTTTGTTGTTGGTATCTATCTGTGAGTGGATTCTGACGCTGTATTGTGAGACCAGGCAAGTAAGTAAATATAGTGACTCGGTTGGAAATCAAGGGTCTCGGTGCAAAAGAGGTGAAATTAGGGAATGGGCGAGGCAGGCTAGATCTCTGACGTATGGCTTTATCTGAAAAACAGATGAATAGATATAGAACAGATGATAGAGGAGAGGGATAAATAGAGGGATGGCCAACGATAGGCGGCTGGTAAATATACATAGACAATAGATAGATGGTTAATAAAGGACTCAAAGATGATAGGTGAATGATACATAGATGATTGATAGATAAACAGACAGCTGATAGATGGTTAGATAACAGACAAAGATGGATGATGGATGCTAGCTAAGTGACAAATGGATAATAAATGATAGTTACTAGATAAGACTGATAAATGATAGATATAAACATACATACATACATACATACATACATACATACATGCATACAACTAAAACCAATGATACCCTAAGACAGTGAGCCCACAAACTTTTCAGGCGTTGATCTCTAAGCACCATTTTCCATTGAAAAGAAAAATAACCAAATTCCAATGCTGGGCCAAGGAAAATGCCAGGGGAGCTGAGAACATTCTGTGCCAAGAAGTAAGAAAGTGTTCAAAAAATAAAATGACAGGAACACATGGGAGAAAACATCAGCGGCAACAGGAAGGCGTTTTCCACCGGCCAAATCCGCAAAACTTGAGTCAAAACGCATAATGATAGCAATGGGTTGTAGAATGCTAGGCTTAAAAGAACCCGAGAGACCATGGATGTCAGGGAAGCAAGAAGGTACTGTTTTGCAGCAGAATGGGATGTGTCCAAATGGGGTGACAGTTAGCAAATCCTGGGTTTGCCGTTCCCAGAGTCACTAGGCCTGAGCTAGTGTTTGCAGGGAACGTGAGATCCTTGCAGGATCTCATGGTGGATCCCAAGAATGACTCCTTAATCATAAAAGGGAAGTGGTATGACCACCATAGCCATGTGAGCACAGTGAACATCTCCAGTCATTGGACAAGGTGCCATCCTATGCTCTGAGGTATAGCACAGGGGAGCTGAGGACATCTCTTAGGCAGGATTCCTGTCCAGCATGCATAACCTGAAGCCAGTTGTGACAATGGTCAGCTAATGCACACAGGACACTCTACAGCTGCCCAAGCTCACTCCAAAGATTCCTCCAGATATCCCTGCCCAACTTACCACCAGTTGTCTCTCTTGCTCTTTCAACAAGCCTTGCAGGCACCTCCTATAGGGTGACTTATTACTGGACTTTTCTTACTATAATACTTTTATTAATTCTTTGAGAATTTCTTGCAATGTATTTTGATCATATTCCATACATACACATACTTCACCCTAACTCCTCCAAGGTCTACACTTATCCTCCTACTCCCCCCTAATTTTGTACCCCTTCCCCCTTTTAATAACCACAAAATGCAGTTTGTGCTTTCTATATGTTCCTAGATATGGAGTCAGCCACTAGAGCATAGCTCACCTACGAGGGACCACACCCTTAAAGAGAACTAGCTCTCCCTCACCAGAAGCCATCAGTGGCCCATAGCTCCTTGGTGAAAACACTGAACACTTCAGGAATTTGCCAGGCTAATCTCATCTGTGTCATTCCAGTTTTAATCTCTGTGCTGCTGAAGCCAATTATTAAGACTCAGAGCCTGGGCCCTAACAGCTTTGATAATCCAGATTTGGCCATTTATTTTTAATAAGGCAGTTAAACAAGCACTAATTTAAAAAAAAATAGGAGCCAGGCAGCAGTGACACATAAACCATTAATCCCAGCACTTGGGAGGCTAAGGTAGGCAGACCTCTGAGTTTGAGACCAGCCTGGTCTACAGAGCAAGTTCCTGGACAGCCAGGGCTACACAAAGAAACCCTGTCTCAAAAAAACCAAACAAACAAAGAAAAGAGACAATCTTCAACTTGGGCACACTGGGAGAGGAACAAAGAGATTCAGTGAGCCCCTCTCAAGCCATCCTTGGGGTTTGGTTTAGAAGGTCAGAGGAAAGCAAAACAAAACACTTCTGGTCGAGGTGTGGTCCAGACTATCCTCAGACCATCATGGTCTTGTCTCTTCTGCAAGGTGGTCTGACAAGCTGTGTGTACCATGAGTGATCTCTTTCTAGGAGACAAGCTCTCCAACTGGCTGGCATCAGACTTCAGTGGAATTCCTGGGGGGAAATTCCAATTCTTCAAGGTGCCTTGTTACCAAGAAGAAGGAGGGGCACACGCATCTTCAAAATAATCTTTATTTCTATCAGAAGGGTTTAAGGACTTATCAGACCCTTGGGGCACAATGCTAATGCCCCCCTTCCCCTCGGCAGCTCTAATTCAAGTTGGACCACCATGAAGAAGCCACAAGACCAGGGTTCAGGTCTTGAGCCCTGAACCCTATGCTTGACTTCAAGCATAGCACAGCGGATGGTAGCTGACACTGTTGTCCCACCATGGAATTGCAAAGGTCTCCTGATGTATCACTGGTTGTGGAGTATGTGAGAAAAGGAGGCCTTTGGCTAGGGACTCTGCTGCTGGAAGGTGGCCAATCTATCCCTGGGGTTTTTGTTTTCTCTTTATGCAGCCGGACCCAGCAGGCCGGGACATCTCCATCCGCCCACTGCTGGAACACTGCGAAAACACCCACATGACCATCTGGCTCGGCATTGTCTACGCCTACAAGGGGCTCCTCATGGTAGGTACCAAGCAGGAGGCAGAGTTGGGGGACACTTCTTTGCCAGGTCTGTCTCTCCTAGGGTCCTTCACAACATGAAAATAAGCAAAGCAAATAAACAGAGCATGCCCCATGTGACTAAGCCTTTAGTCTATGCAGGGCCTGGTCTCAGGCCCCACCATAGCCCAAGGAGATAAGCATAAATGATATTCCAGTTCCCCTCCTGATGCATGGCCATGTTTCCCCCGTGGGCTCTGAGGAAGAGCCCTCCCCTGACTCCTCCAGGCAGCCTTTGACTCAAAGATTGATAGCTTGTCTCTAAGTCTTTTCTCTCTTCTCTCCAAATACTTGTCGTTGGGTTTAGAGACCAATTAGATGATCTTGGAAAATTCCGTTCACAGATTCCTAATTGTATCTCCAAAGACTCTCTACCCCACCCCCAACCACGTGCCCCCACCACCAGCACGGCCACATTCACCCCTTCCAGGAATCTGGATGTGAATATACCCATGAGAGCCACTACAGATGCAGAAAGTTCTTCCTTGTCTCAACTCAGTGCCCAGGAATCCTCATCCCACTCCTTGAAGATCTGAGAACATATGACTCTGATTCCTCCTGACACTCTTCAGAGATTTGTAGCTATCCCCAGGTCCCCAGACATGGCCGTACTGCATGAGGCTCCTGCTGGTTTGGTACATCCTGGTCACAGCTAGAGTCTCAGGCTCCTGTCTAGCCCTCTCACTCACCACCGTGCACCCCAGGCAGGTCCCTGCACCAGGTGCATCCCTGTGCTTCCTCCCCAAGAGGGGACACAGCCTCTGGGGACTGAAGGAGCAAGCATGAAGGACCTGCACAGTGCAGGCTTCCAGCAGACTATGGCTTCCTTCCTGTGTGTCTGCTTCCAAAGCTGCTGTTCCCTAGTAAAGAAATTTTTAAAAGACTCTGTCAGCAGAGTGTTGGGGCACAAACCTGTAATTGCAGGGTTACTGAGGTACCTGTGCCTGTGAGGTACCACTTGTGCCCCAGTGACCTGGGTTCAGCTACCCATCTTCCATAAACCAATTAGAACAGCTGAATCAATGTGGAAAGCAGAAAAGGGAGAGTTTCAGTGTGGCCACATTGGGAAGAGGGGAAACGAAATTCAGCGACATCCCACCCCATCCTCTCCTAAGTCCATCTCTAGGGTCTGGAAGCAATGCTGATGTTTAAGAAGTCATTATACACACCCAAAGAGTCCTGGTCAAGGTGTGGTCCTGCCTACCTTCAGCCCATCATTGCCTCTCCTGTGAGCTGTCCAGTAAATTATAGATCTCTTTTCAAAATCGATATTCCTTTTTGGCTGGAACAGGCCTTCTCTCCTTTCCACATGAGACTCCTAGAGGAATTCTAGTTCAATAGTCTGGCAGTCAAAGTGAGGCTCACAAGCGTCCCTTTAGAATGCCTCCTTCCTTGCCTGGATAGTTAAACCAGCACCCTAGAGACTGAGGCAGTAGGACAGAGAGTTCAAGACCAGCCTGGGCTATGGAACAAAAGCTAGTCTCTAAATAGAATAACTAAATAAATAAATAATTCAGGCTAGTAGAGGACACGCTTGAGAGATGGAAAGAGGAAACCAGCATTGTGTGTGAGGTACCATCTATCAGAGAAGCTTACTCAGGGACTCTGGCATCTTTCCTTCCCCTCACATCATCTAAACAGAGGCCCCTGGGGACAAGTGTTACCCCATCTTCTAGACACTGCAAATGAGGCCTGAGAGGTGAAGAGACCTGTTTGGAGTCTCATGGACAGTGACTTGGAGAGATCGTTCCAGTTCCCCCAGCTCATCTAGCCTGCTTCTGCCCCATGAAGCCAAATTAAGTCACCCTAAGAAAGCAGGTCACCAGGACAATGACAGACATTGGTTACTAGGTGAAACAAACAGACGAGGTATTAATGAGAAGGCCCCAAGACCCTACACCTATAGGAAGCTCAAGTCTCCTTTCTGCTTCCCTCACTACCCCCAGGGGTGCAGATGTGGACTACCCCTGTGGCCAACCCTCCCTCAGAGGACTGTGAGAGCGGAAGTCTCCCTTAAGCCTCTCTCCTATCTATTTCTTTCCTGTCTACATCTGTAGGGAGATGTTAGGGGGGAAAGCTGCATGTGAGAGGAAGCCCCCCAAAAAAATGGTGATTAAAGACATGGGCAGTTTCCCTCTTAGCAAATCCGCTCCAGAGGCCAGTCATCTAGAGCTGAGGGTTCTCGAGGTCTTTTGTCCCCCACATTCACGCCACACATCACAGTCTGCTCCACCTATTAGGAAGCAAGAGATGCAACCTCTTCCTCCCTAAAGGCAGAGCCCAGAACTTGTGCACCACACTCTCGCTTACAGGACAATGTCCAGAACATCCATATGCCAGCTCCACTTCCAAGAGGACAGGAAACACGTCTACACAGGAGGGATGAGAGGAGTCGAGCCACAGGGCACCCCTGCCATTCCATACCATGTGGGGCCACCGTCTTTCCTCTCTGAACCTCAGTTTTCTCCAGAGAGAGAAAACACTCAAGATCCTATGTGCATTTCCTTCACCTATGGCCTCTTTAGGTCTCTACAGAAAACCAGTTGTGAGGGTGAAGGAGAACTGGGGGCTGACACACCTCCAGTCTACATGGTGCAACTTGGAGCCACACATGGAAGTAGTTGGTGGCCTCCAGAATTTCCTGCAGCTTGACCAGCAGTGAAGAGTGACCTCCTCCCGGTAGTGACTGCCTCCCCTTTCTGTTCACCATTTCAGCTGTTCGGTTGTTTCTTAGCGTGGGAAACCCGCAACGTGAGCATCCCTGCCCTCAACGACAGCAAGTACATTGGGATGAGCGTGTACAACGTGGGGATTATGTGCATCATCGGGGCTGCCGTCTCCTTCCTGACGCGTGACCAGCCCAACGTGCAGTTCTGCATCGTGGCCTTGGTCATCATCTTCTGCAGCACCATCACTCTCTGCCTGGTGTTCGTGCCAAAGGTACCAGCCTCTGCCTGTCACGAGGGGACTGTAGACTCCACCCCACCTACGGAGGGAAAGGACACACGTATGCATGTATCCATGTGCGCACGTGTGTGTCTTGTGTGTTTTTGTGTATACCTGCGTGCAGGTACATGTGCACAGGTAGAGGCCAGGGGACAACCTCTAGTTTTGTTATTCAGGTTCCATCCGCTTTATTTTTGAGACAGGGTCGATCAATAGCCTGTGGCCCACTGGCTAAGCGAGGCTGGCTGGCCAGTGAGCTCCAGAGATCCAGATGTCTCTGCCTTCCTAGCACAGATGTTGCAAGTGTGCACCACCACCATTCCTGGCTTTTGTTGCAAGAGAACTACTTTAATTTCTTCCAATTCATGCAACATGAAGTCTAAGTTCAATTATAAAGAAGTTATTTTTTTAAAAAAAAAGCTAAACATGGCATGCCTGTAATCTTAGCAGCTCAGGAGAGGCAAAGGAGGATCCTAGAACTCACTGGCCAGCCAGCCACTCTTGCTGAGTTGGTGAAGTCCAGGTTTGAAAAAAATGATAAAGATACCCTTTGTTAATGTCTGGCCTCTGCAGGAAACCAGTTGTGAGAGTAAAGAAGAACTGGGGACTGGAGGGGGTGACAGCTGGTGCATCCCCAGTTTGCATTCCCTTGTGATGCAACTTGGGGCCACATGTGCAAGTGCACACATGCATTCTTGCACCCCCACACACTTGTGTGCATACATTAAACATATGTACAGGAAAACATACTTCACAGAGAGAGAAAAAAATAAGAAAGAAAGAGAAGTGCTCACTGGCAGCACACACTTTAATCCTGGCACTCAGGAAGCAGAAGCAGTCAGATCTCTCAGTTCAAGGCCAGCCTGGTCTACAAAGCAAGTTCCGGGACAGCCAGGACTATAAAGAGAGCTTGTCTCAAGGAAGGAAGGAAAGAAAGAAGAAAGGGAAAAATAAGAAAGAAAGGAAGGAAGGAAGGAAGGAAGGAAGGAAGGAAGGAAGGAAGGAAGGAAGGAAGGAAGGGAGAAGAACAAGATCCCCAACCCCAAATTAACAAACTATTAATGTTTATTTGTGTACTCCTGTTTGACAATGTGTTTCCTGTTGATTTTTGTTTTTTGTTTTTTTGTTTTTTGTTTTTCGAGACAGGGTTTCTCTGTGTAGCCCTGGCTGTCCTGGAACTCACTCTGTAGACCAGGCTGGCCTTGAACTCAGAAATCCACCTGCCTCTGCCTCCCAAGTGCTGGGATTAAAGGCGTGCACCACCACTGCCTGGCAGTTCCTGTTGATCTTTTAAAGTCACATTTTAAAATTTTATTTTATGAGGGGAGGAGAGGTTGCAGGTGTGCCATAGCATACATTGTCAGAGGACAATCTCCTGGAGTCAGTTCTTTCCTCCACTATGTAAATTCTGAGACTCGAACCCAGAGCTTCAGACTTGGTGGCAGTCACCTTTCCTTACTAAGCCTTCTTGCCATACCTTGGACTTCATTTTTAGCTTGCTTTTGCTTTTTGCGTTTTGCTTTTTTATTTGGGATATTTTATTTAATTTATTATTTTATGTGTATAACTATTTTGCATGTATGTATATATGTGTACTGTGTGCGTGCCTGGTGCTCTCAGAGGTTAGAAGTCCTTGGTCTTGAATTACAGATAGTTGTGACCCATGTAGGTGCTGGGAATCAAACCTGGGTCCTCTGCAGGAGCAGTGAGTGCCCCTAGCCACTGAGCGGCTCTCCTGGTCTCAGTACAGCACATTCATTCTTTTCCTTTGCATCTCTCTCTTGGCTCCCCACCCTTTATCCTTTCCCACACCTGCACCACTGAGGGTGAGTCTGTTGCCTTCATGTCCGCTTGATCCCTTATTACTGAATGCTCCAATCACTGTAGGTTTTTAAGGAACATTTTTCTCTGCAGAGCACATCCTTTTGTTTCCAGTCATCTGCTGTGAACAGCCTTAGAGCTGGCATTACTGGGTCAAGAGGAACAGCCCCTCTTAGTATCCACCCACGTCTTACAGTGCATGCACATCAGGCCTCTGACGTGTGACACGATGTTGTCCTCTGCAAAGTTCGTGCTCAGGAACCAATTTTTAACTCAACTGGGTTTTTAAGAATCACACAAAAAAAGGCATAGTTTCAAGTAAGCTCATGGCTGTGTGGTGGGCGACATTTGGAACTCTCAGCAGCCACGTGTCCCCTGTTGGATATACCTGTCACACCAATCTAGAGGACCGGCTTGAAGAGATATTTTGCAAACATTATTCTCTGCAGCCATGAATAAAGAGGCCTTAACCTCTCAGGGACCTGTGCAGCCTGACCTCAGATATATATAAATCTTTTAAAATTGAATGTTTTAGAAAAGGAAAAGAAAAGCTGTCAAGATGAGTCAGAGGCTAAAGCCCTTGCCACAAAGAGCTGACAACCTGAACTGGAGCACTGAAATCACATAGAGGTGGAAAGAAAAAGCCAGTGTGGGCTGGAGAGATGGCTCAGTGGTTAAAAGCACTGACTGCTTTTCCAGAGGTCCTGAGTTCAATTCCCAGCACCCACAAGGTGGCTCACAACCATCTGTAATGAGATCAGATGCCCTCTTCTGGTGTGTCTGAAGACAACTACAGTGAACTCATATAAATAAAATAAATAAATATTAAAAAAAAAGAGAAAGAAATGAGCCAGTGCCACAAAACTGTTCTCTGACCCTCACATGCATGTCTTACTGTGCACCCACACACTAATAAACATAGTAATGATAGTAATAATAGCCTTCCCCTAAGTTCCTTTGCCTGTGCTGCCTTCTCCGCTATCCCTTCTAGACCACTGCCCCCCAACCCCACTCCCAACCCCCACTCCATACCCCCTCCCCCAGCACAGCAGTTCCTTTATCCCTTCTGGCTGGACAACAATGAAGCTCTTCTTCACACCCACACCCAAGGCTGAGGGAGCAACCCCCTTGGGGCTGGAAAGGTGCTACAGTAGTTAACAGCCCAAACTGCTCTTGCAGAGGGTCCAGGCTGAGTTCCCAGCACCCAATCAGGCGGCTCACAACCACACCTAACTGCAGCTCCAGAGGATTCACCTCCCTCTGTGGCCTCCACATGCACCTGCACATGGACACACAGGAACACCCCATATATGCGTATACACTGGCACATAATTAAAGATAAAATAAAAATCACTTTTAGTTGCTCAATCATGTCCAGACCCTCACCCCACAGAATCTGTCCTATGCCAGATGTGAGTGGTTTTCAGCTGCTAAGGACCTTTGCCAGGTCAAACAGGTCAACAGCTAATCTCTAAAAACTCATCATGGAAGACTCTCCCCTGTCCTCTATCTCTTTGTTGTAGAAACTTTCCACAGCAGGATCCTGCCCAAGGCCTTGGGCTGCCTCTGCCCTGGTAGGGTGTGAATGAGCCAGAGTCAGAAGGCTGATTCTCCTATCCCAGAAGGACTCTGAGGCTCAGTGATTGGCTGCCCACCATCATGCCAAGCCTGTGCCAGAGCCCAACATGGGCCTGGGACACCTGAGCCCCAGCCTGTCTACCTTCCTGGGGACGGGGGAGGGGGGTGTGCTGTCAGTTCCTGTGTAGGACTTGGTGTGGGAACATGGTTGGGGAGAGAGAGGACCATGGCAGGAGTCTCACTGCAAGCCACCTCTGCTCCTTCAGCTCATCACTCTGAGGACAAACCCTGATGCAGCCACTCAGAACAGGCGATTCCAGTTCACACAGAACCAGAAGAAAGAAGATTCAAAGACCTCCACTTCAGTCACCAGCGTGAACCAGGCGAGCACATCACGTCTGGAGGGACTGCAGTCAGAAAACCACCGTCTACGAATGAAGATCACAGAGGTGTGTCCACATCTGGAGACCTCCCATCCTCCTGTCCCACTCCCTCTTCCTGGTCTCCAACCTATCCCTGCTCCGTACATAGTCCTCTAGACTGAGGTCACAGCTGAGCAAAGTCATTTGTGGGGTGGGGCTCCTCTTCTGCTTCCTGCTATTCCCCAGGCTCAGTAGGATGAAGACATGGCTTCAATCTCAGGAATAAGAGACACAGAAAGCCCACATAAGAGATCACCCCTTAAGCAAGTCATGCACACACATACACACAAGCATGCTTACACACTCACATACACACACATACTCATACATATATACTCTCTCTTTGTCACACACACACACTTTATACACACATAAACACTCATACACATACATATGTTCACACACACACACACACACACTGCATACAGTTTGGCTCTGTCTCCCTGTAGTGCCAAAATTTTCATGAACTCACTTAGCCACAGAGCACAGAGGAGTCTGGGAAATGTAGGCTCTTGCCAGACACTTTTAGGGAAGAAGCTTGTTGCTAGATTGGATATGGGTGACCAGTTAATTCTGAATTTCAAATAAACTGCCAATCATGTTTTCAGTATGTATGTGAAGGGGTCTTGGAGTCAGCACAGAACACACCCAGCACAAAGGAGATTATCACCCGAGAGGGACAAGCTAGGGAATGCCTCTGGATCTGGCAAAGGCAGCAGCAGGTGTCTCTGTAGGAGTGGCTTTTAAGAGGAAAAGGGGAAATCTGACCTAGGTTGAGTTGGTAAATTCTGATTGGATATTTTAGTCAGTATAGCCAAGTAATGAATTTTGATTGCTGGACTTTGGTTTGATTATTGGACCTTAGTGTTTTAGTCAGACAAAGAAAGTACCCAAATAAGTGACTAGATCTTGATGGCCAGCTTTAGGAATGTAATCAAATGGTTTAACAAGGGGGTGTGGGGAGAGGACAAGATCTAACAGTATCATGTTCGAGGCTTGGGCCTGTTAGAGATCCCTTCGAGCAGGCTGTACCCAAACTGCAAAGAGGGCTTTTCCTCTCTGAGGTTTAAATTCTATTGGACTTCTGCGTTTCGTTTGCTAGATCCAGGAACCTCTGTGGGGGCCACAGATCCCTGCCACACAGAGAGCCAACACACTCGTTCCCCGCACCTGAAATCCGTTAAGATGGAGGCATCCTGCACCAGCTGCTGTGGCAAAGAAAGCATCAGCTTTCGTGGCTCTGAGCCCATTGCCAGTTCATTAGACGTCTATAACAAGCAACACCACAGTGGCGAACTAAGCCTTCTGCTTCCTTCCAGCAGTGTAATCCCCCGCTGCTGAGAGCCCCAGAGTGGCTTTGCTTGCCCTAGAACTGAGCCTCAATGGATGTCCCATTGCACGGGTCCCAGGCTCCCAACCCTGCCACTAGGTAACACAGATAAGAGTAGTGGTTTGCTTTTTCATTCATGTAGAAACTTATTAGGCAGCAGCTTTGCCCATGACCTCAGAAGAGTGATCACAGTTAATAAAACTCCCTTCACGTACTGTAGTCAGATACCCACTAGCCATCCCAACTACCACCGTCCACCATCCACGCACACTTCCCTGACTTTGCCCTGATTCTTCTGCAACCTGAGCGTGACTGAGTCCTATCATGCTCAGCTTCCCAGGTGACCCAGCTGGCTGGAGCCTGTATGATAGTGTAGGGTTCAGAGATGCTGAGTTCTGCCTGTGAGCCTCCTGGCTGGGTCTGCTGGGTAGCTATAAGGATAGCTCTGATAGCCCTCTAGCAGCTGGTTCCCTCTGTATGTCAGGCACTGGGATAAACATCCCATCATCTCACCGGGTCTCCACACATCCTGTGAGGCGGGCACTGTGATGTCTTTGTGCTACAAATAGAGGCTGAGGCTCACAAGCCCAGTACAGAGCCAGGAAGTACAGCCCATCTCCCCTCGGCCTGAGCTGGCCTCTCTGCTTACCCCTGCTCCTTGCCCTGCCTCTTGGTCTTGCTTGGACCTACTCAGGGCTCAAGCCCAGACAGGTCATGTGACTGCCAACTCCTGGTCCATCTCATCTCAGCTCCTGTTTGAATGAGTGCAACAAAGTCCTTCTCTAGATGCAGAGGCCATGACGGGGAGTGGTACCTCACACCCTTAATCCCAGTATTTTGGAAGCAGAGGCTGGTAGATCTCTGAGTTTTAGGCCAGCCTTATCTACAGAATGAGTTCCAGGGCTACACAGAGAAACCCAGTCTGTAAACACCAAAAGGGGTTGGGGGGATGCAGAAGTCGAACCCCAAGGGCTGGGACTGGGGATTTGGTCTCAGATGGAGTCTTGTCTTCCAGCTGGACAAAGACTTGGAAGAAGTCACCATGCAGCTACAAGACACACCAGAGAAGACCACATACATCAAACAGAATCACTACCAAGAGCTCAATGACATCCTCAGCCTGGGCAACTTCACAGAGAGCACAGGTGAGAAGAGGCAGGGTCCAGCTATGGGACCTGTCACTTTGCACAGGGCTGGTCTGAAGCCATGAACACAAACAGACAGAGCTGAAGGACCTAGGCCTTCATCTCCTGCCTACATCTTTGAATCTGTGCAGAGTCATCGCCTCCCATCCCCAGCCCTGGGCTTCAACTTTCTACCCTCAGATACCATGTCTGCCTGTACACAGCACAGCTGGCGTCCCAGTGTTACTTCCCTCTTTGGACCACAGAGGACGATTTATATTTACTTCACACTTTTAGAAGCATCTCAGGGGTGTACAAGAGGAGAACGGTCATGAGGGTATGCTGCAATGGTGCCCCTCTTACCAACCACATGAGAACAGGTCACTGTGACATGGGCCACTCTCTGTCTACCTCTTAGCAAAAGCCAGTGTGGGACATATGGAAGAGGACATTCACCTGTGACGTTGGAAGTCACTCTGGCCCTGTCCAAATGTGAAGCGTTCAACCTCTTGAGGTATCAGCTTCCCAGCAAAAAAAAAAAAAAAAATCCATGTGGGCACCTAAACACTCATTGTAACATTATTGGTAGATGAGAAAGACTACCGCTAACTTACAGGTACACAGCTAATGTGACTTCATCAGTTATAAAGTGATCAAAAAGCGCACACTGTTACAGCCACTTAAAGGTGAGGTAAGGGATAATGGGATGAGTGACACAGTGTCTGCCTATTGTGTTAAAGGGGCTGGAAAGGAGACTCAATGTCTAAGAGCACCAATGCTCTTGAGAGGACCTGAGTTCAGTTCACAGCACCCATACTGAGCAATTCATGCCATTTGTAGGTCCAGTTCCAGGGGATCTGACGCCCTCTTCTGGCCTCCTAGGGTATCTGCATACCTATGGAGCACATAAACTCACACACACACACACACACACACACACGCATACACGCACATGCACACACACTAGTAAGTATCTTTAAAATGTTTTTAAAAGCTGTGTGTTAGAACTGGAGTGCAAGAAGCCAGCATCATGATACACACACATACACACACAGAGAGAGACACATGGATGGGGTGGGGGACATGCAGCCATCTGTGAGTATTTGTGTTAGTACAGTTTTTAAAGGAGTAGAAAGAACAAACAAGCTGTCAACCATGTACTGACAGAAAGGCTCAATACTGCAGAGCACGGTATGCAAGCTTTCTCTTTCTTTTCACTGTACACAAGCACGGTGGAGTGCTCCCTGGAGTTTGGTGTTTGTCAGCATACATGCATCATTTGCTATGAAGTTGTTTTAGGGGCTGTGGCTGCAGCTCACTGTAGAAGATCTGCCTGTCATGCTCCAGGCTCTGGGTCCAACCTCCAGTGTGTGCAAAAAATCTATTTTTAAATCAATGAAAGTATGTTTTTCTTTTATTCTTAAACTCTGTAGACCAGGCTGTTGAACTCAGAGATCTTCCTGTGTCAGTCTCATAAGTGAAAGGATTAAAGGCGTGCACCACCACTGCCTGGCTGGCCTAGAACTTTCTATGTAGTCAGTTAAAGATGACCTTGCTCTTCCTGTCTGCACCTGCAAGTGCTGGGACTATAGGTATGTGCAGTCTTTAAAAGCTTCACACACAGAGAGACATACACAGTGTGTGTGTGTGTGTGTGTGTGTGTGTGTGTGTGTGTTACATAAAATGTTGATTGTAAAGAAATCTTTAAATTGAAATGGTTACAATTTTAAAGGATAAAAATTACTCTTGGGATAGGCATAGTGGCACACACCTTTGATCCCAGCTCTCAGGAAGCAGAGGCAGGTGGATCTCTGTGAATTCGAGTCCAGCCTGATCCACCTAATGAGCTGCATGCCAGCCAGAGCTACATAGAGAGACTCTGACTCTCCTAGCAATGCCAGCATCTACAGCTTTTCAAAGGAAAGCACTTCAGATTAGTGGAGGAAGATTGTTTTTGTAAGCTTCCCTGGGCTATGTGAGTAGCCTGTGGGAAGAACAGAGGTAGAACTTCACGTTGTACTGTACTTTATAACATAAATGTTAACTAATATCCAGATGGACACAGATTCAAATATAGAACGTAAAAACGAGGAAGTACTAGGTGAAACCAAGTGGTAAGTCTGTAAGTAGTCTTAGAAGGGGGAGGTCTTTTGGGGTTTAATACAAAACAGAATCTGGGAGCACGGAGAGTTTGAGGGTAGCCTGAGCTATATAGTAAAATGCTGATTTTTAAAACTATATATTGTTTTTGAGGGTTTGGTGGTGGTGATGGTGGTAATGGTTGATTGGTTGTTTTTGGTTTGGTTTGGGGCTTTTGGTGAGGGTTTTCTTGGGTTTTTTGTTGTTTATTTGGTTTTGGTTTGGTTTTTGGTGGGTTGTTTGTTTGGTTTTGGTTGGTTGGTTGATTTTGATTTTGACTTTGATTTTGACTTTTTTTTCAAGACAGTATTTCTCTATGTTGCCTTAGCTGCCCTGGAACTCACTCTGTATACCAGGCAGGTCTCAAACTCATAGAGACCTGCCTATCTCTGCCTAAAACCATATATTGTTAAGCAAACAGGTAGGAGGCTGGAGAAGCTGGCTCAATGGTTAAGAGGAGTTGTTGCTCTTACAGAGGGCTTGGGTTTTATTTCCCAGCTCCCATATGATGGCTCAAAGCCATCCACAACTCCAGTTTCAGGGGATCCAATGCCCTCTTCTGATCTCCACAGGCATGAAGCACACATATGATGATAGACAGATAGATATACATGCAGGCAAAATACTCATGCACAAAACAAAATGAAAAAGTCTAATTTTTTTAATTTTTTTTTGAAAAAGTCTAATTTTAAAAGAAAGAAAAAAGAAGAAGAAAGATCTTCTCAAATATAGCTGCTTGAAGTAGACATTGCTCTGAACCACTTTCTGCTGTTGGCATTCAGTCTCTGTATAATAGATTGTGTGTTGCTATAACTAAATGACACAATCTTGGCAATCAAATGCCACAGAAATAGGGGGTGGGAGATAGTGCAGCTGGTAAAGTACTGGAAGGGGCTGAGTTTAATCTCCAGAACACACATGAAAAGCCGAGTGTCAGGGCACACACCGTCATCCCAGCACAGCGAAGGGCAGAGACAAGCTGACCCCAGGAGCATCTTGGGTAGTCACCTAGGCCTCCTGGGCAAGTTTCATGCCAATGAAAGACTATCCCAAAGAATACAAGCAAAAAGTAGAAGGTACACAGACAGCACCTGAGGATTGACAGCAGAGGCGTATGACAGGGTGCCTGAGGAATGACACTCACATTGTGAGTGCACACACATACAACATTCACATATACAACACAACACACACACATACAACATACACACATACAATATTCACATATACAACACACACACAACACACACATGCAACACACACATACAACATTCACACATACAACACAACACACACACATACAACACACATATACAACACAACACACACACGTACAACACACACACATATAACACACATGCAACACACACACAGCATTCACACATACAACACAACACACATACAACACACTCACATACAACACATACATGTACGACACACATACACACACTCACACAACACACACAGAGAAGATGGAGAAAGTAGAGAAGGAAGAGGAAGGAAGGAAAGAAGGAGGAAGGAAGGTGGGAGGGGAGGAAGAAAGGAAGGAAGGAAAGAAAGAAGGGAGGTAAGGAGGGAAGGAAGGAGGGAAGAAGGGGGAGAAAAAAAGCTATAACATTAATGTACTGTCTCATAGCTCTGCAGGTGGGAATCCAGAATGAGGGACTTGGTAGGCTCAATGCCTAGAGAGGCCCTTGCCTCTGTTTCTGAGATGGTCCCTGGACCACTTCATTCTCTGGAAGAGGACAATCTCCTCATAGGTGGAAGGGACAGAAAAGGCTCAAACCCTGTCCCTCGAGCCCCTTTAGAAGGACACTAAACCCTTCCCTAAGGAGTCCAGCCTTGAAATGTGATCATCTTCTGAAGTCACCACCTAGCACGCTCATTACATTTCTGTGTGCAGAGATATGTGCCTGTAGTTCTAGCAACCCAGAAGCCTGAGGCAGGGGGACCATTGGAGCCCAACAATTCAAGACCAGCCTGGGCAACATAATAATACCCCATCTCAAATAAATAAATAAATAAAAATAAAACCGTGAACTCAAAAGGACATGTTCAAACCACAGCACTGGGCCTATACAGCTGATTCTTGTTAGTCGGCATTGGTGTAGTTATGTTCTGTAAGGTCACCTTGGATATTGGCAAACACTGATGCTCCTAAGGAAGAACCAGGTGAGACTCCTGTGAGCTCCTCCCAGGTTGCTGTTTTTGTCAGCCAATCAATATCTTGCTGTACATGTTTGTTCTGTACACATCACCTTCCTAACACACACTGTGTGCAGCATGGCCAGCAGCCCTCTAGCTTGTGCCTGACAGAAGCTTGCCTGACACCTGTGTTTTAGTAACAGTCAGCACTGCACTTGGGGACCATTATAACAGAAAAGAGCAAAAATGTGTCAAGCATCACTAAAGCAACCTCAGGGCTAGAACAGTGTAGAAGCTGCACATAGAGAGCCACACCTCAGGCTGGAGCATGCATGCCTGGCACATACATGCAGACATACATGCCAACATCTTCACACACCATGTGCATCAACAAATGACCAAGATGCATCTAGAGTGTTGATGGCAGGGTAGCAAGTCCATTTGAGAAAGTAAAGGAGTTGGCAAATGCAAAAGTCATGGATAATCGGGATCACTTTAATGGATGCTAAACCACATACCTATACCGTCCCCCAGGGCAGCTAAATCACATACCTATACCATCCCCCAGGGCAGCTAAATCACATACCTATACCATCCCCCAGGGCAGCTAAATCACATACCTATACCCTCCCCCAGGGCAGCTAAATCACATACCTATACCCTCCCCCAAGGCAGCAAAAACCAAACAAAAGAACCAGTGTGCAGCCCTGCTGAGACAACCTCAACCTTTTAGGAGGGATACAGACTCCACATACGTCTCCAGATGTTTTGGAAGCCAGAGGAGGGATTTATTTGGCTATGATATGTGGCCATACATTCTCTTGAATGGAGTCCACAAACTTCCATTGCTGGGCAGACTCAGATGAGTACCCACATCTCAATATTTCATGAGGCTGAGTTGAGCATCCTGTGCATGTCCTCGCTCATGCCTTGATTTCCTCCTTAGGATACTTCCCAAAAGCAGAAATTCTGGCCAGAGTTATACATGTATCCCATCTCTTTAGAAGACTGAGGCAGGGAAATTACAAGCTGAAAGCCAGCCACGGCAACATAGTAAGACACTGTCTTAGAATGATAAAATAAAAACAAGCAGGCCTGCAGGAGCTGGAGAGATGGCTCAGCAGATAAGAACATTTTATTATTCTTGCAGAGAATCTGAGTTTATTCACAGCACCCACAGGCGATTCACAGCCTCCTGTACTCCAGCTCCAAGGGACTTGGTGCCCTCCCCTGGTCTCTTTGGATACCAACATGCACATGACAAACACAGAGATACAAGCATAAAGCAAAATAATTTTTTTTAAAAAAGTTAGAGCCTTTAAAAAAAGGGGAGGGAGGCTCTAACTAAGTGCTGGAGTGCTTACCTAGCATACACAAGACGGTGAGTTCAATCCTTAATGTTGCTGGGTGAGGGACACATGCCTTTTATACTGGTTGACAAACACTGACCAGGCTTCTCAGTAAAGATACAACAATTGCTACCTGCCCCACGGTAGTCTACTCCTGTTCAATCTATTTTTTTGTGAATTTTATCCAAAACATACCATAAAGGACTTTCCCCTTTCTCACTGGACACCCATGCCCAAAGAGGACTTTAGTGTGAGACTTCCTCAGGCTAAGTGCATGGTCCACGTTGGTCCTCTTGATCCCTACCTGCCTTTTTCCCCCTTGAATGGAAAGAAGAGAGACCAGCTGCACACTTCCCAGCCTTTGGCTATTGTCCGAGGGTGGCAGCTCCTCAGCTCACTTCATGGGTCCAGACGGGCTGAGAGGCAGACTCTGACTCAGAGAATCAAGAGGAATCGTTGACTCTGTTACTCCCTGGGCAGCATCCTCAAGGTCTCACGATTGATGTTTATTTAAAAAAAAACTAACAAAAGTTATGGTGTTGTCTTCAACAGATGGAGGAAAGGCCATTCTAAAAAATCACCTCGATCAAAACCCCCAGCTCCAGTGGAACACAACAGAGCCCTCGAGAACATGTAAAGACCCCATAGAAGACATCAACTCCCCAGAGCAGTAAGTACCATCCCCAGAAGAACCATGTTCAAGAGAACACTGCCCTGTACAGTTGTCTCCAATGTGCACATCAGTTTCACAGCTACTATTTCACCCGCGCTCTGAGTGACCCAGGGATGCAGCCATATTATGATGCTCCTTTGACAGGCAAGGAGACTAATATCCAAAAGGGGGAGAGGACGCAAACAAGCCCGCCCAGTACTTGAATGCAGGAAGTAGGATTTGAACTTAATACTGTCCAATATCAAATCCACCATAAAATGTTCTCCACCAGAACACACTGCTTTTGTTGTGTGCAAACTGTAACTCTGTGAGACTCATATGTTTAGTGATAATTGAAGTCTATTAGTGTCAGACAGACACTGGGGACACATAAGTGTACAAAACAGAGATGCCTTCCTCCCATCCTGCCCATACCTTGGAGAGTCTCCATTCTATTTAGCAGGCTAACTACTTATTTTAAAAGGCAAGAGACCATGTGCTCATATTAGGTAAGGTGAAATGGGGAAGGGGCTGTCAATTTAAGTAAGATGGGTCAGAGAAGAAACCAAAGACCTGTACAGACCTGTACATCTCAGCTCTGTTCCCAACAAACGTTAGCTCATTCCAGCTTATTGGAAGCAGTAGGCAGATATATAAACTCTGACATGACTTCTGGGAAGTGGCAAACAAACAAGGACCGGCAAAGTCACCCCGTCCAGTGTTATCTGCCCACCAGATGCCAGCCCTGGCCAGCTTAGTTTCCTATATCCCAAAAGAAATTAGGAAATAAAAATTAGGTAACAGAAAATGGACTTATTTATACTTTGGCTAAAACAGAGAGAGAGAAAAAGAGCTTGCTTCCTCTCCAATGTGCTGCCTGAGGAGTTCTCGAAAACTCTAAAGCAAAAGCCAGAAGACACGCAGCTTTGGCTGCCAGTTTAGCCATCAGGAGGGAAGGTGACTTGGTCCCAGGCTCCCTCCACTGTCTCTGTTCTCAGCAAGGAGAGCTGTAGGTGGTTTTCTTCCTATGAATTTAGAATGTCCCTGGTACCTTTCAGGCCAACACCTGATTCCCAGCATGGAATTACAACTACAAAATGCCAGCACGTTCTTTTGTGAACTTTGACGTATCTGAGAAGTTTTTCTGAGGCACAGGTCCCTTCAGGGCAAGAGTACACTGCATAAGCAACAACACATCTCAGAAACCATCAAACTCTGGGTAAACTCTGGGGTACACCCTGTTGGGATTGAGTGCCTCCAACACAGAGCCTCATGGCTCCACAGACGCAAGATCCCAGCCTCCATGGCTGCACTTAGCTGGTCTTTCCCTAAACAAGGAGGAGTTGTGCCTTCCTTAGCCTTAGGTGGGGTAGCAACACTCTGCTCTCTGATTCCTGGTTTTGTTTTGCTTTGTTTTTTCCTTTGTGAGAATCTCTGTTTGGTTTGGTTTGCACCTGAGAGACACTAAAATGCAAAATCCAACAACAAAATAAAAAAAAAGTGCCACTGAGAGCAAGAAGCCACCCCCTTGACATATTCCCTATAAATAGCCTTACTAAATATTAAAGTCACCCACTGACTTGACGGTCATTTAAGGCTTTAAGGATGTGGCCAGGAGAAGTGAGCCAGAGGACAGCATCTTTTCCCTTACTATCCCTCCGCCATTGGTAGTATGCAAGTACCTCCTTCCACTCCCAGCTCAGTCCTGTGCCACCTCTGGCTTGTTTCCAAGAGCTGTGGGGACTCTGAGGAGGAAGGGGCTCACTCCCAGAGAAAGTACCACAAAGAGGATGATACTTAAACTTGGTCATGAGCTCCAGAGGAAGAGGATTCCAGATGGGAAACATAAACGCAAAGATATAGAAGAACACCCCCGAATGAGTTGTCAGGGAAATTAGCCACCAGGGGGCAGGATCTGGGGAGAATAGACAGACATTCACCCCATTTTGAGAGATCCTGAGGGCGCTGAAGGTCACAGCCACATCAGGGCGTGTCCTCTTTTTTCCCCCTCTGTGACCTCCTAAAGTAGAGAAGACAAGGTTAATCACCAAAGAACCTGGAAAGCCATGGAGGATCCTGCTGGGACAAATTGGCTGCTAGGTTCAGCAGTGGCAGAGGGCCAGGAGGAGGGAACAGGCAGCTTGGAGGGTGGGGTATTGAAAGCCACATCACACTGAAGTTTGTGTGTGGTGATGAGTGGTGTGAAGGATTGGTTGGGTCCTCCTAATTTTGCCATGATAGTTTAATCAGTCAGCCTCAGTGGGGATTGGGAGATAGCAAGAGGCAATCTTTCTTGCACTCTTCCTGGCTATTTCCAATAGTAGGTACCCGTGAGCCTCGGTCAAATGCCTGCATCATGTCTGAAGAAGCGCATAAACAGTTGAACCAATGGATCTTGGACTTAAGGAGACACAGACTCCTACCCTCAGATTTTATTTTTTTATATTTTATTTTATTTTATTTTATTTTATTTTATTTTATTTTATTTTA